GTCGTGGGCCCCTCCGCACCCGAGGAGGGGAGGATGGGCACTGCGTGCGCGAGGGTCCTGGTCCCTGGTGCCCGACACTCTCCTGTCTTTCGAAGCACAGAAACCTCACCTGAAAAGCAGCACTTGACTGAGTGTTGCTGAAATGAGGCAGCTTGCGTGTGAATAACGACAGCCCCTTTTATTTTCCATGTACAGCTGTGGCCTGCAGCTGCCCTGCTGAAACCTCAGCCCCCCTTCTGGGGCTTGCAGGGCAGGTACCCTATTTGCCGGTCCTGATCATACTCCTAGCTATTCTGGCTGGATGCTTATTTTGTATCTAAATCATGTAGGAGCTGCCTGCCTGAGTGTGGCCAGGTACCTTCCACCACTGGCCAGTTAGGCTGTGACCCCAGGCCACTGGGCCCAGCTCCATCTCTGTCCGCTGCAACCGTGCAGACTGTGAGGTTCTCTCCTCCACCTTCTGGGGCTGCCTGGAGCTGCCCAGGTGGCCAGCAGATGACTATAAAGAACATCTGTGAACCTCAGGAGACCTGAGCGTTCAGGCATATAGACGGCCTAAGGCTGTGAGGAAAGGTCAGACGCCCAAGGTGCTCAGTCAGTATTTCAGGGGGAAGAGGATGGAGGTGGGAGGAGCAGAGGAGGCTAGAGCAGAGGAGGGGAGGTTGAGGGGGTCTTGGTGTGGCTGGAGAGAATTCACTGGCGAGGGGAAGCAGCTACCGTTACGGTAGGAAGTGGAGGGGGGCCGTGCACGTGCCGGGAGGGCCGGCCTGCACCAGGGCAAGGGAGTGGTGGGGTGTCGGCGGGGGGCCACGGGCTGTTGGGCGCCTCACCCACTCTGTGAACAGGTGGCCAGATGAGGCAAGGCCTGGCTCCAGGGGCCCCGGGGAGTCGTATTTGGCAATACGAGCAGCTGTAAGCTTTTCCCCAGAAGGTGGTGTTGAAACAGGTTGGTGTAAGGAGGAAGGTGGGAGGAGTCAGCCCAGAGGCTCTGCATGTGCACCGAGGGGACTCTGTGGCCTAGGTTCTGCCCTGTCTGCCTGGCCCGCAGACCCCTGTGAGGCTGTCGGTCGTCTTGGCCCCTCTGGGGGAAATCCTGTCTGGGACATGAGAGCACAGTTGCTAAAGGAGCGAGGCTAGAGGGTCTGTTAAGTGGTTCCGTCTGGTTTTCTGGTTACACACCCACCTCTCAGTCCTTTTTAGCCAGCTCAGGGCCAAACTCCTCCAGAGGAGACATTCCACACTCCTTGACAGCGAAGTCTTTTTAGCACTTCGCTGCCCCAGTCCTCACCTCAGAAGCAGGCGTGACCCAAGGAGGATCTAGATGTTGTGGGGGGCCGAGATGCCCCTCCCGTGTGATGGGTCCCCACTCCCCAGGTGCCTCAGGGGGGTGCAGACCTCCTTCCTAACAACTCTGGTCCAAGGATGGCTTCTGTCAAGCAGGCTTCATTCACCCAAGATGTGGTAAATGAGGTATTGTGTATGTACCCTATTTTCTCACCTGACCTTGAGTTTATTCAGAAACGTGTTGGCTTCTCTGTGCTCATAAAATGGACTCACCAAAGAATTGATTTCATATAGATCAAGACACTAGATTCCCATAAACTCAAACTCAGCATCTCTTCAACCAGAAATCTCCATCTATCAGCATTTTAAAAAATGTTTTTCTATTATAAATTAATACATGTAAGTTGTACAAACCTTGAATATAAGAAAATTAAAATAATCCATATCCCCTTATCTAAAGATCACTACATTTGCTATAGTTAGCAAATTTACTTTTACTCATTTTGCTACATATGTTAGCACTTGGTACTTTGGACTTCATTAGTCCTATGACAATTAAGGTGATGGCCCTGCAGTATTTCTAGATTCCCAGAGGTTTCAGAAGATTAAATGAGTTTCAGTGCAGTTCTAAGGTTGTCGTAATTCATAGGTTGTACAAAGGACAGACCTCTGAGTTTTAATGGGAAAAACCTGATACTCAACCACACCATAAGATTTGAGAGTTCACTGATTCTCGAAGGTTTGGGCCTAAGGTTTCACTCTTCTCTCCATCACACAAGGAGGCAGAAGGATCGGGCCTCCACAGTTCCCAGCCCCCACGTGACCGGCAGAATGACCCCACCCTGGAATACGGTGCCAGTCATTCCCAGACATGTCTGCCCTCCAGCACTTAGCCTCCCTAGACCCCAAGGGCAGGTCATGAGACTCCTGTTGCTTACTGGTGTTTAGGCCTTCTCAACACTAATGTATTCTGGGTCTAGTCAGTGTAACCCAGACCAAGAGAGGAAAAAGGCCAAGAGCACAGTGATTCTCACCATGGTGGATGGACTGGGAGCAGAGAGCCCTGGGCTCTGCCCTGTGTAACTAGAGACAGGTGACCTCCCGCTTCTGATCTGACCAGCAGTCTCTGTGGTCCCCTTCTGCTCAGAAACCCTCTGATCTCTGCCTCTATTAGAAACCGCTTGGACTGCACCCAGTGCCTTCAGCATACATGGCTAATGAAAGACACCAAGAACATGGAGGCCAAGAAACTCTCCAAGGACCGGATGAGGAAGTACATGGCAAGAAGAAAATGGCAGGTAATGAGGGGTCACTTTGGACTGGGATGTCGCCCCTCATAATTGCTTTATTCAAGCTACCTTCATTCCCAGCTTGCCCTGGCCTCACTCCAAAAATGTTTACATTTGTTTCTGAAATAGTCTGGGACCAAGACTGACGTTCCATGTCTTCGTGACTAGGGACGAGCAATGTCACCTTTAGGACTATTTGGCAACCCTGGAGAATGTGATCTCCGTATAGGTAGCGTGATGGTCTTGCATTTCTTTACAGTGAAGGAGGTGGGCACATGATCCACAAAGAGAGACATGGGAGAGACATAGAGAGGTTGTATGTTACTAGCCACATGTCCTTAGCCAAGTTACTTAACCTTGCTGTGCCTTCGTTTTCTCGTCTACAAAATGGGGATATTAGTGGTACCGAATCTTTGTGAGATTCTCACTGTTGTGAGAATTATATGAGATAATATTCATCTGGCCTTTAGCACATTGCCTGGCACATAGTAAGTGTTCACAAATGAGATCGGTAGCCAATATGTATGGAGGGCTGGCCACGTATCAGGGAACATTCAAGGCACTCTCTATGCATTGCTTTTTAATCCTGGGAGGCAGGTACTATTGTTATCCCCAGTTCTCAGACAAACAAAGCAGAGAAAGGTTAGGAAGGTCACCCAGGGTCGCAGCTAGTAAGTGGGAAAGCCAGGATTCAAACCCAGAGACTGGCTCCAGCGTACACAGTCTTAACAGCACACAGTTTAATGACACAAACTGCCTCTGATTGTTAGCAGATGGAGAAAATGATCATCCAAAACCATAGAGAACTTATCATGATCTATTTTATTTTTATTATCACTACTAGTATTATAAAATTCCTGGGCTACTGGAGGGTACATGGTTTCTATACTCAAGGAATGTACAGTGTAACAGGGACCTGAAGCAAATAGACATAAAAGGACATAACACACACCAAGAATTATAAATGATCACTATAGCTCTCCATTCCCACATATGTGAGTGTGGACAGAGAATGGAACCAGTCACACCGGAGGTGGATGTGGATGTGGTTGTGAAGAAAGGCTGCCAAGGGCAGGAGTCTGAAGTTGGCCATGGAACATGAGTAGAACACAGAGAGGAGGGGATAACAGCACAGACGGAGGAAAAGGCTTAGAGGTGGGAACTGGACCTCACCCTGATCATGCTGGCCTGACAGAAGCAGTCTTTTAGCTGGGCATTCAGGGGACTGGGGCATTTAGACCTTGCCTTTGTGGCAGAGAAAAAGGAAACCACCATTTTAGGGGCAACTGGGACACTGGTGATTTGCCACACAGAATGACTAAACCGCAGTTCACTGAAAAGTCCAAGTTCACACAAAGGTTGAGAGGAGCAAAGGTGAGAGAGGGGCTTCGCGTGTGTGGGTCTGAGAGACTTCACCCCCTGCACATCTCAGCGGCCTCCCCGAAGTGGGAGTCAGTTCTTGGCTAGCCCCGCCTGAAGGTTTGGGTGGATCTCCTGGCCTCTGTCAAGTACCTGGTGAGTTGGAACACCTGTGCCGCTTACCTTACCCTCTGGTGCCATTAGGGTCCAGTGAAATCAGAGGAGCAAATATTATTTTAAAAAAACAAAGCCACAAGGAGGCCACAAAGTCAAAGTTTGGCTTTATTAATGATCCTGTGGCCAGTAGATCTCAAAGAAATAGCGGTATTTCTGGAGCAGATACGGTGACTGGTATGGGGGTGGGGCAGTTCTCAGAGGAGGGAATCGCACTGGGTTTTGGTTGGATGAGGCCGTGGGCTAAAGGGCAGCCTTATTACTTCAGGCTTCTGGAGGCATCCACACATCTGCTGGTGAACCAAAGCCAGGAAGAGCCTAAACCCAGGGGATAGGCGCAGAGAAGAGATAAGGAAATGGGAGAGGAAATAGATGGAATTTTTCAGTCAGATGGGTCCAGAAACCATAATTTGTGGTCATATTTGAATCACATTTTTTTCTTGTTGTTTACAGTGTTATTAGCCATAAGGTTTTCTGAAAGTGAGAAGGGAAAGGACAGAATTCAGAGAAGGAACATTAATTTCCTATTTTAATATAGGTAGCAGCATTTGAAAATGGCTTTTCCACAGAAACAGTGGTTATGTTTCACAAAATTACAAAGTAGTCTGCAAAATCCCATTCAACACATAATGTCCCTGAAGCATATTGTCACTGGTAATAGTTCGGCTGCATCTGACCATCTTGTTACATTTCCTCCTCAGGAAAATGTTTTCCACATTTTAAACTCTGGATACCAGGACCCTGGCACCCCTGGAATAGGGGGTTCCCTCTGAGAGCAGCTGAGGTTCTGTGTGCTGAGGCGGAGTGGAGTGGAGAATAGAATGGGTGTGCTGTGGAGGGAGAGGGCCAGGCAAGCACAGGGGGCCCACAGCGCTCGACAGCTGCGTAAGAAAAGCTTCCTTGCTATCATTCTGGTGTGTTTTTTTTTTTTTTTAAAGCTTATGACATTCTTAAGGATTTTTAAAAATTTTATTTATTTTTGGCTGTGTTGGGTCTTCGTCGCTGCGCGCAGGCTTTCTCTAGTTGCAGTGCGTGGGCTTCTCATTGCGGTGGCTTCCCTTGTTGCGGAACAGGGGCTCTAGGCGCGGGGGCTTCAGTAGTTGTGGCACGCAGCCTCAGTAGTTGTGGCTCACGGGCCCTAGAGTGCAGGCTCAGTAGTTGTGGTGCATGGGCTTAGTTGCTGTGTGGCACGTGGGATCTTCCCGGACCAGGGCTCGAACCCATGTCCCCTGCATTGGCAGGCAGATTCTTAACCACTGTGCCACCAGGGAAGCCCCTGGTGTGGTTTTCATAAAAGGGGAAGGAAGTAACATGGGAACAAGCCCCAACAAGCAAGCGATCGATAGATGACTCGTTGTACTATTGATCTTAGAATGAAGTTATTCTGAAAGAGGGTAGGTTTTTTATTTACATCAAAAGAATGTTGAAGAGACATGATGGTGAGTAATAGCATTGAGGGTGGGTAAGTTGAGCAGGATAACAGGGCCTCTGCATGCAAAATGGAAGCAAAGGACTAGGAATTGGAGGCTTGTGGGCAGCCATCTTTATTCTCTGAGAACCACAGACTTCAGCAGTATGGACCAAAGGGCCTCGGGGAAGAAAGCTTTTGACTCAGTATAGCATGGAGTACTCTTGGCCATCACATTTAGATAATACGCATTCTCAGGGGAAATTGTAGTCTTGGGGCTGTTGGTGTTTATGTAGGGCCCATGATGGCTGGCTGGCTCTAGGGTGATCACCTTGTGGAGGTTTTCCAGAGCCTGTCTCAGCTTTATCCCTGAAAGCCCCTCATCCTGGGCAATCCCTCAGTCCTGGGAAACCAGGCTGGTTTAGTCACCCTTGCTGGCTCTCCCAGGGGAGGGAGTCTGTGCTGTTAGGGAAGCCGTTACAGACCCTGCCCGCCTGGAACACAGGAACCCAGCCTTGGCAATTGCCCTCCAACAAGAAAAAGGCCTCCTCAAGATAAGAATGGAACTTATCAAGAATTGAATCTTTCTTTTTTGATGTTTTAAAAATTTCCAAAGGTCTCAGTTAGTAAAGCAGCAACCAATTTTCAGCTCAAAGGCATGAAACTGGAAGGCTAGAACATACAGTTCTGACAAATAACTTCCCCACCTACTATTTTTTCCCATGAAGCAGCTTCCAAAGATTGACCTCTGATGTGTGGGTTATTAAGATTTTCCCTATTGAGCACTTACACTTCTTCCTGTTTTAGAAATTATATGGTCTATTGCTCCATCTGATGGAAAATTTCCCCCAATGTGTGGTCTATTCGTTTGTTATTTGCCACCTTCTCTGAAATACTGTAACGCTTTGATTTGCCTTGTTCTCGTCTCATAGCTTCGTATTAGTCATTTTGTTAACAGAAGAGGAAAGACTTCATTCTTCCGCACCATACAAGTGAAGACAGTCCTGCATCCAGGTGTTTGGGATTAGGGAGCCCATGGGCTCAAGGGGAGCGTGTTCCCTGCTACACATTTGCGTGTCTGAATCATAGTCTTTCTGTAGAAGACTAGAGCTGCTGGGAGATTTGAATCTTCAGGTCCAACAATGAGGCCCAGAGAGGGGAACTGATTTGCACACGTTAACAGAGTAATGAGTGGTTAGAGAACTAACCTGTCCCTTGTCAGGCTGTTTCCTTCCTCTCTCAGCAGCTAGTCTGTGGTGACATTTGCTCCCTGGATGCACAGCATCTGGATGCCTCAAAAGATGCTTTAGGTGCAGGGCTGGAAAGCAGTGGTTATGCCTTAGTTTCTTATCTTAGTCATTCCATTGACCTTAGAAAAGGGGTGAGAATCTTTACTTAAAGGTGAGAAACACAGACACAATGTGTATTATTGGGGACTTCTTGACCTAAATCCTATGCCTGGTAGAATTTTCACAATGCAAAGAAAATTTTCAAGTCCTGGCATCTTTTTCAGTAAAAATTCTGTCCTCTCCCAAGGTGCCTTGACTAAGAAAAGCAGAGTGCCGTGCGTTTCATTTCTTTGGGTGCTGCTTTTTGATGCTGGGTGTACATCAGGGAAGAACACCCCTCCAGAACTTCACTGTAGACTTAGACTTGTGCTGGGGCCAGCCAGAGTATTTCTCGAAATCGCTTAGGTATCTGAATCATAAACCGAACTAAGTGAGACCTTGGAGATCATCTTGTCCAACCCCCTCCTTATACAGAGAAGGAAACTGAAGCCCAGGGAGGTTAAGCAACTTGCCTATGGTCAGTAGAAGCCCTTTCCCCCCCCCCCCAACAGAACCTGTGGGATCCGTAGTAACTATTCTCTTGGCCAATTAAAATCCTATCACTAGCATTGTTTTATGAGAAACAGCCTCCACTGGGCCCTGTCAGCAGTTAAGTCTTTGGAGCCGTCTCAGCCTGCAGTTGCTTTATATAAACTATCCCTTTTATGGGAGTTGAAGCACAGTATGAAAAGGGTTTTTGTCTCATGTTGACCTTGTTTAGTCACATTAACGCACACATCGGTTCCAGGCCCCATTCCATTCTCCGAACATCTTCTGACACGCTGATAGTGCTGAGCAGAGCAAGGTTGGGCTCACTCCTCTGCAGAACCTCGGCACTCAGGAGGCCCTTGTTTCAAGGACAGCTGCTTCTCCTGGGCTGGGCTCTTCTCCCTGAGCCCCGCTGCCCAGCTGGAACCAGTGACACCGCCTGAGTCCAACGCCAGGTGTCTATTTTCCAGAAAACGGGCAATGCTGTGAGAGCCATTGGAAGACTCTCCTCTATGGCAATGATCTCAGGGCTCAGTGGCAGGAAATCTTCAACAGGGCCACCAACCAGCCCACTCAATGCAGAAAAACTAGAGTCTGAAGGTAAGGAGCTCCAGGAAGATTTTCTCCAGCCAGATGGTGACAAAGGAAGGGTTGGGGGATGGAGAGGCATTTAGAGGTTTTTTTTTCCTTAAGGTGGGGGGGTTGGGTTTTTTAATAATACAGGAAAAATGTGAAACTACTTTTACACTGCCCCGACAATAATTATTAAATGTAGTAATTATTCTTTAATTGTTTCACCTTAGGTTTAACTATTTTCAGAAGGAAAGTTATTATTTGTCTAATAGAACTAGATGATCTCCGCTAATCTTTTCCCTATATTTTACATAAGAATTAGCAAAGGCTTTATTAAAAGTTCTGTTTTTCTCATTACAAAAGCGATGCTTGTATAATAACAGGCAAACATAAAATAAAAATCACATATAGCAGTGTACTTTTAAAAAATATCCATTTTTTTTAACGTGTCTTTGCGTTTTCCTTTTAAACAAAAATTGACTCATATAGTCCATATTTGTTTGCTATTTTTCATGATGCCGAAACATGTCGTTTGAACTGGGTAGACAGTGACTGGCAGGGCCCCTCCTAGAGCCCAACAGGGCTAGTTACTTGCCCACCGTCTTTGAGATGCTGCCCCATCCATCTCCTCAGTGAAGGCCTTGGCCTCTTCCTGCTTCAGATGCATGTAGGGTCTGGCCCTTATCATCCTGAGGTGCCTCATTTGGCCTGAGACACTCCTCCACCTCCCACTGCCTGATGCTTTTGGTATCCAAAGGTGAGAAGCTGAGTCTAGCTCCCTTTGTGCATAAGACAGGGAAATCGGTGAGGCTGCTTGCTGAGCTGCTCTGATGCAGCCGGGGACCAAGCCTGCTGCACATGGGCCTGGTCCCTCCTGCCCCAGCCCTGCCACTCTCCAGATGACCCAGAAATAGCCTGAAGGGGAAGGAGAGGATCAGGAGCCACTCAAAGTTACAGCTTTTCCCTGGACCAATCCCAAACCCTGGTCCAGAGTCATACACTGTGAAGGCAGTATCCGTGTGGAGAACAGAGCTATTGGCAAGTCGAAGATGCCTCTAGGACCTGGCTCTCCCCTTCCAAGGAGCAGATGAAGGGCCTGCTGCTTCCAGAGGAGGGCAGGGGGGTACAGCGATCAGGTGGGCTGGCGTGCTTCCGTCCTTCTTCGATACCCTCAACTGAATCCTGAAATGGCATGAAATGCAGCCAGACAACTTTTTTAAAGATTATTTCCTTTTTCAGTGTGTCAGCATAAGGGAGGGAGTCCAAACATTTCCCCAGTTTGGTCACAGTTCTCTCTTCTGCCAAAATCACTTGGCAGCAGGCCAGCCAGTCCCCAGGAGAAAGGTGTGCTTATGATTCCGTCCTCTAAGCGCCATTATTTGCTAAATTATAACAACTCAAAAAAGAAAAAAAAAAGTCAGCTTTTTTAAACCAGGGAAGAGGAGAGAACAAGGAATAAAGAAATTACCATGTCCTCTTCCCTGTCTTCTAGAAGATGTCTCCCAAGCTTTCCTTGAGGCTGTCGCTGAGGAAAAGCCCCATGTAAAACCCTATTTTTCTAAGACCATTCGTGATTTAGAAGTTGTGGAGGGAAGTGCTGCTAGATTTGACTGCAAGATCGAAGGTAAGTTTGTAGCTGTTCTTCCCTTACCTACAAAAGGGGTATGGTTGGCTGGTGGGCCCCTACTGTGTGCCCTTCGCAGAATGTCAGTTCTGGGGCAGCCAGGCTGTGAGGGAAAATGGGTCACGAGGAGTTGGCCCACTGCCCCACTCCACCTGCTTAAGATTAGGGCCATTCAGTGACTCACTGAGGGCACATCGGATATTTCACCTACTTACATCAGCCACTACACCCAAGTTAAAAGTGGTTTATCGTGGACCTATTTGGCTATGGAAAGTGCTTAATGAAATGAGCTTTGCGAGCTTATGGGAAGCATGTGAACTGCCCACCAAAGGCTCTCAAAGGAAGGCTGGCACAGAGCATAGGATGCAGAGAAGGCAGCTCTGCTGTTAATCACTGGGCTCTGTGACCTCGGGGGGGGGGGGGATTTAGCTCTTCTGAGCCTCTAGTCCTCATCTGTAAGACAGTGTCTAATGCCTTGAGTGGCTCTGGAGACTGTGAGATAACATGTGGAAAGGGGAAACCTTTCAAGTCTTTTAAAGATGTCATGGAGTCAAGGGAAAAGTTGTGGAAATGGTAAGTGCAGAGACAGCCTGCAGTGTGACTTCAAACTGAGGGAAGTTGGGATCCAGGCCCCTGTGCTGTCTTCCCCATGTTTCTCTGCCTGCTAGAAATAACGTGGCCAGAGTGAGTTGTTAGAGCTCAAGGGACCCTAAGGGATCTTAGCATAGCACCTGAGAAGTTAGCAGTGTTGGTGACACATAGTATTTCAGTCTCAACAGACTGCAACATTCTAGAAAGATAAGCGGCAAGATAAGACAGGCCTCTTTGCTTCAGGTCTGTGACTGTTGTGTGCCAACCAGAGTGGAGGGCTATCTCCCATTTCGGTCAGACCAACTTCCCCAAGGCAGCATAGCACAGGACAGCAGTGATAACGAACCATGCCCCCCACTTTGTAAGATTCTCCAGCAGTATGGCTAGATAATGCCTTTTGGGTAAAGTAACCCAAAGGTAGGAATGAAAAAACAATTTTTCTCCTGCATCACTATATTACCAAGATGCCTTATAAATGCCTCGCCTACCATAATCTTTCTTTTTTCATTCAATTTTTTTAAAAAAGTGGGTGTGCTGCCTTTGCTAGTGTGGAAGTGCTCAGATTGGGGGTTCTGCTGAGAGTTCTGGGCCACTGCTTGGAGCTCTCACCATCACCGCTGTCTTTGGGTCTTAGTTCTTTACTTTTTTCCTTTATTTTTTAGAAAATATTATTTCATAATAATTATCTTTTTGCTTACTTTTCTCTTTGGGATGATTTTCTTGGTATCTGCATTACTTTGGAGTGCTGAGGAGAAATTAAAGCATATGGATGCTGGTTGTTAAAAACAAAATTCCACTTGACAAGAATGTTGGAATTCTTATGTGTAATTTGTACGCTAGCTGTGGGGCTACAATTTTGTCCTGTAAAACTACTTCTCCAAAGTTTAAAAACAAGTCAGTTAGTAGTAGTATGTTTTTAAAGGCATAAAACATATATTTTAATGCTGAACTTTGCAGCAGCATGACAAATGCATAAAATGAGACGAATGAGTCTGTCTTTGGATCAAACTAAGACAAATACTGCTTTCTTTTTCCTAGCAGTACTGTCAGTTCCTCTAATTTATGTTTTACAGGTCTGTTATCATCTTTGAATTATAATTTATGCACTATAAAATTCACCCATTTTAAGTATACAATTCAACTATTTTTAGAAATTTACAGAATTGTGCAGTCATTACCACAATCCAATTTTTAAACATTTCCATCACCCCCAAAAGATCCCTTGTGCCCATGTTTTCTGACTCTTATTTTTTTATTTAAATTTATTTAAGTTCTTTTATACAAGATAAAAAAAAGTTTTCTTTTAATCCAAGAAGATATTTCGCTCCAGGCATGTGGTTGGAACTGGGACAGTGTTCCGGGGAGTTATCTATATCTGTGTTAAGGTGGGAGGTGGTACAAGCCCTACATGGGTGGGGAACGGGATGCCTGTACAATACCTTATGTGGCTGTTTCAGATATCAGTGATTACAATACATGCCCCTATTCAAATGTAAATATCAATATAGATGGTAAAAGCCAACAACATCATAATTTTTTTTCCCTTTACCCCCTTAATCAATAGAGGTAGCTCAAGAGTTTGCATGAACTGATAAGAAGTTTTAAATAATAGTTTCTGCAACTTGTGTTCCCTCCCTGTGATGCAGGATACCCAGACCCTGAGGTCGTCTGGTTCAAAGATGACCAGTCAATCAGGGAGTCCCGCCACTTCCAGATAGACTATGATGAGGATGGGAACTGCTCTTTAATCATTAGTGATGTTTGCGGGGATGATGATGCCAAGTACACTTGCAAGGCTGTCAACAGTCTTGGAGAAGCCACCTGCACAGCAGAGCTCATTGTGGAAACCATGGAGGAAGGAGAAGGAGAAGGGGAAGAAGAGGAGGAGGAAGAATGAAACAAAGCCAGAGAGAAGCAGTTTCTAAGTCAGTCATATTACAAAGACTCTCTCTCTAAAGCTCAAAAAACCCAAGACAGTAAAAGCACCTAGCGTGATAGATTATTTAGTTAGGTCATTTGGGGGTTGATTCTTCAGCAATAGTGGTTGATACCCAGCAGCGTTACGGAGGGGCATTAATTTAAATTAGCTGGCACCTTAAGATTCTAGTACAGCTAGATTTCATTTTGGGAAATCACCAGTAACTTGCCTGACCAACCAATTTTAGAGAAAAAGTAACAGAAGGAAGCTTTATCTGGGCAAAGTCATATAAATTCTCCAACTGAACGCACTCATGAAAAAACAAGGTCACAGCCCTGCCCAGAGGGTCCCTGGAGATGGGGGTCTCTCCCAGCTCCTACTCCAGAGAACCGGGTCTCCTCCAGTCCTGTAGCACTTCATTCTGCAGGCAGTTGAGCCATTTTAACTTACGAGGCACAATACTTCCAAAGTATACTATAGACATTTGAACTTTTCATTTCCATCCCCTGTTCTACCTGCCAGTTTTTCTGGATCTGGACTTGCCATGAGTTTAAGCATTAGGGACATTACACTTCTTAGATTCTGAAGACACGTCTCCTGCTCATGGATGACTGGCTTCCTTAGGAAAAACAGAATCTCCTTTCTTCCAAAATCAGTAGGAAATCTAAACTTATCCCCTCTTTGAAGATTTCTAGACGCTTCAGACATTTTTACAGGAGCCTATGGGAAAAAAAATCCTTGTTAATGTGTTTTTCTGAAACCAGGATTCATACCTGCGCTGTTTTAGAATATCAGCTCTGCATGTGTGGTAAAGATTTTTGTGTTTGAATGTATGAAAAAACAGTTTGCTGGAAAGTTAGTCTTAATTATTTATTGGCCACTATGAAATAGATTTCAGCTATAGAACTCCACATACTTTGGAATCTCATTCAGGATAGTCTGAGTTTAATATACCTTCATTTCTAAACATGCTCCAGAGAACTCTACTTACCTTATGGGTTCCACGAGACTTTTCTTCTTGAATGTGCATCAATCATGCCTTGCCCCCCAAACCTTGAAATATATTCTTAACCTGATAAATGCACTCAGACTTGCATCTTTAGGAATTTTTAACTTTCTTTCACTACACTGGCACTTAAATTTTTCTTTATACAACTTTTTGAAGGGCATAAACAAAGACCATAAACTGATATGCCTAATACATTTCCTCTGTGTGTGTGTAACGTTCCAGATACTTTTTTCTTTTCCACTGTTTGTAAAGCGCAGCAGTTTAATATTTGAAGGAACTTTTTGAGAGTTCCTTAAGAACTAATTTTAAATTACTTCAGTGCAATCCTACACAGTATCAACATTAGAATTTTGATGTTACTTAGTCTTATGTTATCTTCCATTCTATTTTTACCTGCTTCTTGCTGCTAGTTTCAAATTGCCAGTATTTTTCTTTTTGCTTTTTAAGCAGTTACAACATTTTTCATATAGCCACAGTATTGCCACAGTTTATTATAATAAAGTATTTTAAATTTGATTTAGAGCATTCAAAGCTTTTCTTCATCACTTTTGATTGTGTTTAGACTATAATCTTTGTGTGCATGTATGCTGTATATGTGCGCGCATGCGTGGTGTGTATGTTTGTTTACAGGTTTTTTGATGCCTTCTTGAAGTTGTGTTAATGTTCTCCCAGTTTATTATGCCATCAGAATGGTAAATGAGAACACTACAACTGTAGTTAGCTCACAGTTTTTAAATAAAGGCTACCACAGTGCATGCTGTTTGTTCAGTCTTTGCAGCCTTCTTTTCCCTTCCATGCCACCAGTTGTAGACGACGCAAACAGATCTCAGAAACTAAAAACAAATGCTCTGCTGCATAAATGGCTTACATGCTGGGAGACTTCCCTGGTGGTCCAGTGGTTAAGAATCCACGCTTCCACTGCAGGGGGCACGGGTATGACACCTGGTCAGGGAACCAAGATTCCACATGCCGCGCAGAGCAGCCAAAAAAAAAAAAAAAAAAAAAAGGCTTACTTGGTTGTGCTTTACTAAGGAACAGAATAACTTAGGCACTTCTAGTTTATACTAGGTAGCCTAATTTGCACGTTTAGTTGAAAATTTCTCTCGAGCATCATTTTGGTTCAATTACATTCTAGTATCTACAGTACGCTCATAATGCTAAAATCTGACATTTTTAGTTATGTCACAAAATCATCATCGTCATTAATATTTACCAAGGCTTGGTCGGCACTTGTTACTTTGGTGCAATTTGTTACTAGCAGCCAAGTGCTATCTTTCCGTGTCTTGATAGTGAAGCACTTGTTCTCAGGAAACCATCACTCCTGCTTCACAGGAAGTCTGTTTTCAGATATCAGATGGTGGGGCCCCCCAGGTCTTGAGTATTCAAACAATACTGTAGATATTCTAGAAAGAATCAAGACATATTGTTAAATGTTAGACTAGATGATTCTGTGATTCCACAGTATAGTCTGGAAAGAATCCATTGTCCAGATAATATTTAAATTGTTTCATTTTTTTAAGGCAACCACAATCCACAAATGTTCCTAGTGAGGAAATTATTATTTTTAAAGAAAAGGACTTTTTATTCCTTGCTAGTGAAAAATGTACCTTATATTCTGAAAGAAAACAAATAATTTCCTTCCATTCCATTCTCATCCCAAACATATAAAAAACAATCCACCGATTATTCCTTACATCGCAGAGCTTCATATTAAATGAATTTCTATGTATAACTAAAAAGACATGCTGACTGTTGTCAGCTCTAACTTAAAGTCTCTTTTTATCAAGATGTTTGAGTTCTACACATTTTAATAAAATCTGTGCTTTTAATACATCTGTGCTAATGAGTATCAATGAGCTGAAGAATAACTGAATTCTAAAGAAACTCAACTCTCCACTTTTCAAGAAAACACAGGTAATACTACTTTCTTTAACGCTTGGGAACTCCTCTGTATTTCGAAAAGGAAGCTAATGTCTGTGACAGTCATTACTGAGGCTCTTTGCCCCCTGGCACATGATTAGCACCACATTCCTGACTCCCTGTGTGAGATGGGAGATGGGGCTGTGTGACTAATTCCGGTCAGCGAGGTAGAAGCAGAAGTGATGTTCATCCCCTCTGGTCCAGAGAATTTAAGTACTGGTGCAAGACTCTCCATAGTGACTGGCAACATGTCAGATGGTGGCTACTTTATCCACCTAGGTGCCAAGCCAATCCCAAATGAGTACATAACACAAGCAAGAAATAAATCTTTGTTCTTATAAATCCCCAAGATTTTAGCATTCTTTGTGGCTGTAACATAGCCTAGACTATCCTGTTATAAGTTCATCACTGTATTCTAGATCTATTCTGACCAATATGGTAGCCATGACTCACCAGTGACTATTTAAATTTAAATTAATGAAAATAAATAAAATTTAAAATTCAGTTCCTCAGCTGCACTAGCCACATTAAGTGCTCAATAATCACATGTGACTAGTGGCTGGCTATCTTATTGGACAGCACAGATTAAAACGTTCTATAAAGTTCTATTAGACAGCACTGTTTTAGATGGACTAGGAGGAAAAAAGAAACTCCAAATTTTACCTTAACTATGCATATCACTTTTCAAATTGTGAAATTAAAACATAAAAGTTTGCGTGAAATCAGTCTGGAAAGTATGGTCTATAGTTTCATCAATCATATTGGATAACACAAACTCAATACTTACGTTATTGTGTTTGATTATTTACATTCATATATTTTTTCACTTTTTAAGACATTTAAAAAGTATCAGTTCTATGCTTCTCATCACAAAATCGAAACAGAGACCTGCAATTCACAAGCAATTACTAGATTACTTGTGATATGAAGCAACCAGTTAGGCAAAAAAATCTCTGGTGTTTTTGGAACTTGTAGCTACATGAGACAGGGGAGCATCCAACAGGGACAACTGAGATAGCAGAGAAAGAGACAGCATCCCTGGGGCAAGATTTCCCCGACAGTGAACCAAAAGGAAGGGGGAGGGGCCATCCTGATAGCTACAGTCATTTTAACTTTAGTGGCTTTGATCATAACTCCCTTCCCATTGGAACCGGAAATACCCAGGAGATCTACAGCACTTGCAGACAACAGTCAGTGTCTAACTGCTGGTTGTTTGAAATTTTAGCTCATAGGCCTTGCCGGTGTTCCAAATGCTTGTACATTGCAAAGAGGGCTTCATGTCAGAGACCACAGCCCCAGTAGTGACCACACAGAAGTACACGATAAATCTTCACAAGACATCATTATTTGACTCTCTGGGACTAGATTTCTTCCAGCTGGAGATAACTAAGGAAGAAGAAGGTTACAAATTAACCTAAAAGTCAATTCATTATTATTAGCTTCTTTGGGGCAGACATCAGTAGCTTCCAACAGTTAAGAGACAGGTTAAGCTATAGGGCTTCTCCACAGTCTTGCTCCAGATGGTACGTTACAATGACCAATAGCCTCTGGTCAGATTCAACAGACATTTATTAGCAAGCAGTCATACAGCGTATTCTGTAAGCTCCATGAAGTCCCAGATCTGTCTCTCCAGAAAGCATCTCACCTGTTCACTGAAAGCAAGCACTGCAGGATACGAGGGGTAGGATCTAGCTGACCTGGGTAATTAGCCAAGTGGAATCAGTTCCAGCTCTGCTTCTCACTGGAGTTGTGTAGCTTGTGCTTCAGTTTCCTCACCTATAAAATTAGAGAAATTATATTTCCTCCTTCACAGATCGTTATAAAAATTAAAAGAGCTCATGCACAGTACCTGATCCTTGTAGTCAGCTCTATTCTTCTAGCACTAGGAGATGCTAAGATGTGTCAGAAACATCCTCTACCCGCAAGGAACTGATAATACTTCTGCAGAAACAAAACAAGTATGTGGAAAAGTTATACACTAATGAAAGATGGAAAGAATTATTGAAATTCCACCCACCTCCGGAAAAACATCTTTGTAACCGAAAGTGCACATACAGCTGTATGAAACACAATTGCTCTGAGTTTAGGAAATGCTACAACTGCCTTCCCGGTCT